CATTATGCTTGGGTTTCTCTAAGTGTCTTGAAATTGTGGTTTTTTAAAAATTTGTTTTTGAAAATTCCTGTCCATTGTCTCTCAATATTTCTCCTGATCCATTTTCTCTCTCTTCTACTGATCTTTAATTATACATATGTTAAACTGCTCAATATTGTTTCTTATGTCTTGTGTGCTATATTCTATTTTTTTTTTTTTTGGTTGTTTTACAACTTTTTTCCTTTGTTTTTTCGTTTATCTTCAAGTTTACCTGAATTTTAACTCCCCCCCCCAATTAGGAACACTGTAATTTATATTCTGTGCTTGAGATTTTCTGGCCCATTAGGTTGAATTTGAAACACAACCCATGAATTGATTGTTACACATTCTTAGGGGACATTTTTGTTTTTTCACTACCAAGTTATCAATAGACACGTTTCTTCTATTTTACTCTGGCTAGAAGTTTATTTCTTGCCAGTAAACACTGGCAAGTTGGCTCAGTTGGTTGGAGCATCATCCTGGACATCAGAAAGGTCGTGGATTTGATTCCCAGTCAAGGCACATACCTAGGTGGTGGGTTCCATCCCCAGTGGGGTATGTATGGGAGGCAACCTGTTGATGTTTCTCTCTCTCCTTTCCCTTCTCTCTCAAAAAATAATCAATGGACATATCCTTGAGAGATGATTAAAAAATAAAATTAAAACATTATGAAGTACGCCCTGGCCGGTTTTGCTCAGTGGTTAGAGTGTTGGCCTGCAGTTCAGAGAGACCCGGGTTTGGTTCCCACTAAGGCCACGTACCTCGGTTGCAGTTTGTCCCTGGCTCTGGTTGGTCGTGCGGGTGGCAGCCACTCGATGTGTCGCTTTCACGTCGATGTTTCTCTCTCTCTCTCTGTTCCTCTCTTCCTCTCTCTCCCTCCCCCTCTATCTGAACAAAAAATGGAAAAAAATGTCCTCAAGTGAGGATAAAAAAAAATTATGAAGTAGCCCTGACCGGTTAGCTCTAGAGTAGAGCGTCGACCCATGGACCAATGAGTCACGGGTTCAATTCTGGCCAATGGCATGTACATTGGTTTCGGTTTGTCCCCGACCCTGGTCAAGGTCGTGCAGGAGGCAACTTTCTCTCCTTCTTACTCTATCTGAAGATAAACAGAAAAATATCCTCAGGTGAGGATTAAAAAAAATTTTTTTTTTATTTTTAAATTATGAAGTAAAAGTTTTTGCAGATATATCTGTGCACATGCAAATAGTTTTTTTTTTTTTTTTTTTATTCTCACCTGAGGACGCTTTTCCATTTTTTGTTCAGATAGAGTGAAAGGGAGAGAGAGGAAGAGAGAGAGAGAAACATCGACTTTTTTTTTGTTTGTTTGTTTGTTTTTTTTTTTTTTTGTTCAGGTAGAGTGGGAGGGGGAGAGAGGAAGAGAGAGAGAAACATCGATGTGAAAGGGACACATCGAGTGGCTGCCACCCGCACGACCAACCAGGGCCGGGGACAAACTGCAACCGAGGTACATGCCCTTAGCGGGAACCGAACCCGGGTCTCTCGGGACCACAGGCCGACGCTCTAACCGCTGAGCTAAACCGGCCAGGGCTGCAAATAGTTTTTATTGCCAGTGGAATAAGGCTAAGAAGCAAGATAAGCTTATTCTTCCTCACCTTTTTCTATGCCACTTAATTTGTGGATGCCCTGAATGCCATTAGAATATGCTTTCACATGTCCTCTAAAAATTTTCAACCCAAACAGCATTATGTTCAGGTGACCATACTTTGGAAGGGTACCCAAAAGACATCATCTGCTCCTGGATTGTGTTTGGCTAAGTAAACAAAGTGGAAGTCACATATCATTCTGCAGAACAGTTCAGAACACATCCTCTGAGGTTTCTCAAAGAAAACCAAAAGCTGCCCTGGCCAGTTTGGCTCAGCGGTTAGAGCGTCGGCCTGCGGTCCGGAGAGACCCGGGTTTGGTTCCCGCTAAGGGCACGTACTTCGGTTGCAGTTTGTCCCCGGCCCTGTTTGGTTGTGCGGGTGGCAGCCACTCGATGTGTCCCTTCACGTCTCTCTCTCCCTCCCACTCTATCTGTACAAAAAATGGAAAAGTATCCCTGGGTGAGGATAAAAAAAAAAAGAAAGAAAACCAAAAGCCATCATAAAAATGTATCTTTCTTGATGACATAATAGCAAATAAATGAGGAAATAGCAGGCTACATGCCCTTGAGAGTTGACAGTGCAAGGACACATGGCATCGATTTCCAATGTAGAGGCCTTTTACAAAGCAGTGACTTGAGTCTAGATTATGTCATCCTGAGTATTGTAAGCACATTCTGTGCATATCATTTGTCATATAAAAATAAGTTCCCTCTTCATGGTTTATTTTTCCTTTTTGGCACATTCTGAACTCCAGAATGTTATATCTGCTATTTGGCTTTTCATAAACTATCAGGCAGGATCTCTGTGAGAGTCTGCTTTGAGAGACTGTACATAATTATTTGTGATACATGACTCTTAATTACATTGTCATGGTATATCTCTTCAAAATAGCATCTGATCATTTATTGCCTTTTAAACAATAGACAAGGTGTTTTCTAAAGACTCTTTTCGGAAATCTACATGTTTCTTGGAGCCTTTCCCGATCTCCATACTGTGTATCTTGGGCATTTTTAAATGTGAGGACTAAACCAAATTTTCTGTAACTTTATTGTTTGAATTTTGACTTTGTAACTACTCTTTAAGGTAGACATTTGAGTTTACTCAGTACTTATCCTTGTTTAAAACTTGCATGGCTCAGATGTACTTAGGCTTATAGTAGATTGGCTAGCTTTGGTGACATCTCTCTGGCCTTTGAGGTTGGCACAATCCAATATAGCTACCTTAGGGAGGGGCGGTGTGGCTATGGAAAAACATGTTTTTGTTGTTGACTGTTCTTGCTTTCTAGTAATTTTATTTTTTGCTCAAGGGATTTAGTATCTGTTCAGATAATTTATTTTTAAAGGCCACATAAGTAATGACTTGACCTCTAATCTTAGATTTGAAAATTTCCCAGACACTAATAAAGATAATGTCTGATGACCTATTCTTTGAGAATACTACTCACTGGCCAGCAATCAGTGCTATTTAAAAATGTATACTTTACTCTGAAAATGACTTCCATGGCTAAAAGACTTTTTTAGAAAAATTGTGCGTGTAATGACATAATTTGGTGACTCGTAGGCCTAGATTTAGAATACTTTTTTGCATGGTGACACTGAGACTTAGTACAGTTCTAAGCAACTCTTCCTCAAATATTGTACCAAATACAGATGCTCTTCAACTTAAGATGGGTTATGTCCTGATAAATCCACTATAAGTTGAAAATGCATTTAATACATATAACCTACTATAAACATCCTAGCTTAGCCTAGCCTACTTTAAATGTGCTTAGAACACATACATTAGCCAACAGTTGGGCAAAGTCATCTAACACATAGTCTATTTTATAATAAAGTATTGAATATCTCATGTAATTTATTGTGTATTGCTTTCATGCCATTGTAAAGTTGAAACATCGTTAAGACAACTCATCATAAGTTTGTAATTATTTCTGAGAAAACTATTCTATAGACCATAATCTTATCAAAAATAGCACCTGTAGCTTGGACTAATAACAACATTTGGACACACATGGTTATAGAGTAATCCTTGTTTTGCATGAATATATCGGTAAGATTTTTACAAAGGATCAAGTTATGAATGAAGACTAGGATGATCAGTTAAATTATCTGGGCTGTCCACATCAGGACACAGGCTTAATAATTAGTAGAACAAAAGAGACGTTCACCAGACCGTATTAATATGTGTGACAAGGTATATTCATGAAGAAGAGGTGAGGAAAGCAGTTTTCTCCCAGATGTCTGGGGAAAATGAGAGTTGCCTTTTTTGGTCTGTTTTTACTTGTCATATCTGTAATAACAGACCCTCTTGCTAAGAACCTATTGAGATAGTGTTGTTTTGGTGAGGTTGGTAGAGGAAACTGCATATTGCTACCTTGATGTTTGTTTGTTTGTTTGGCTTTTTGTTAAGAGATGATATTTAGTTCTTTGTTAGAAACTTTAAGTTATGTACAAAGAGAAGAAACAGTTCACTTAATTAATTGTAATCTTTCATTGAAATCTGTTATAGCCTAGTTGGACAATCCTGAAAGAGATTTAAGTGATTGAGGTTTTCCCTTACTTCCAGTGGAAGGGAAATATTTCAGTTCACTTACTTGAGACTATAAAATAGTTTGTTCTTCTTTTCCCTACAGCAAGAATTATGAACATAAAGTCACAAAACAGATTCAGTGTTAATTTTTAAAGCTTCCCCATATTTCCATCCTCATCAGTTGTAAATAATACGCCTGACTGGAAAATGGAAAAAATTGAAATTTTCCACTTGTGCATTTTGAGCTTTTCAGAGGTATTATACACTCTGGAAATAATAATAAAAGATACTAGGCTTTATACAGTGCTTTGTGTTAGGAACTCATATAAACACTAAAGCATTGATCCTCACACAGTACTTGATTGTGACTTTAAAAGGTCATGAGTTACTGCTGTTAACAAAAAAATAAAATAAAATAAGATTGGAGGGAGAACTCTAATGTATAAATATTGTTTAAAAATATCTAGATAAAAGTTGATACAGATAACTGGAAAAATAAAAATTTGGGGGATTCTTATTGTTTGTTAACTTTCCTCTTAACTTGTAATAGATTTTTATCCCTTTCTGTTTTTTATTTCCCTTTTGTCTATGAATTTACTTGAAGCCTGATTCCCTTCTTAGATAAGGCAAAATTTACTTTTAAGCTTTTATTCCTTTTTTGCCAAGAAGGCTTAGACCTGTGGCAGTTTTTGGAGTTTGTCACATTAACATGATGCACATTATTAATCCTGAATTGGGAGATTATTCCTCTGGCTTTCTTAGTTTAATATTTGTGATATATAGCTGTTGATTTTGATGAATAAAGTGGTCATGTGGCTTAATCTTCAATTGTTTTGTGTTTTGTAGGTTTATTCTTCAGTCCAAGGAGGTAATTCACAGTCAGCTGTTAGAGAAACAGAAAATAGCAGAAGAAAAAATTAAAGAATTGGAAGTAAGTTTTGAGTGAATATTTAAGTAGTCATCTTCTAGGAAAAAAACAATTATCTCATTGTGTCATAGTAAATTAAAATGTATCCCTGCTAAGGTCATGTCATTATCACTTTCATTTTTAAAAGAAATATGTCTTTATTGATTTATTATTATTACTATTTTATGCAGAACAGAATTTTATTTAGGACATCTGTAAAGCAGATGGGCTGAGTCCAAAATGGCCTCAGCCTGTTTTTATTTATTTTTTAGAGAGAGAGGAAAGGAGAGAGAGATAGAAACATTGATGTGAGAAACATCTGCCTCCTGCATGCACCCTACAGGGGATCGAGCCCAAAACCCAGACTTGTGCCCTGACCAGAAATTGAATAGGGACTTCTCAGTCCATGGGACGACACTCAATCCACTGAGCCACACTGGCCAGGCCGGGCTACTTTCATTTTTTAAAAATTGTGTTAGCTCTATGAAGTAGTCAAATTAATGGCAGTGTATAAGACACAAAAAAGTCTCTTGAAACTGTAGGGAACTTTGAAGAAGATTAGATGCTGTTATCCTGAGTGTATTTTCTCCCTTGTGTTTGAATGAATATATCTGTTTTTAAAAAACAAAAATAAAAACACAACATGCCCAACTGGTATGGCTCAGTGGTTGAGCATTGACCCGTGCACCAAGAAGTCGCTGGTTCAGTTCCCAGTGAGGCCACATGCCCAGGTTGTGGGCCAAATCCCGAGTGGGGGCATGCAGACGATGTTCTCTCTCATCGATGTCTCTGTCTCTCTTCCTCTCTCTCTAAAATCAATAAAGAAAAATTATTTAAAAAATAAAAACACTGCCCTTGCCGGTTTGGCTCAGCGGTTAGAGCATCGGCCTGCGGTCTAGAGAGAACTGGGTTCGGTTGCCGCTAAGGGCATGTACCTAGGTGGCAATTTGTCCCCGGCCCTGGCTGGGTCACGTGGATGGCAACCACTCGATGTGTCCTTTTCACGTTGATCTCTCGATCTCTCTCTTGCTCTCTCTCTCTCTCTCTCTCTCTCTCTTCTTCTCTCTCCCTTTGAACAAAAAATGGAAAAAATGTCCTTGGGATAAAAATAAATAAATAAATAAATAAATAAATAAATAAATAAATAAATAAATAAAAACAAACATTGCCTGGCTGTTGTGGCTCAGTGGATTGAGCATCACCTATGGACTGAGAGGTCCCTGTTCGATTCCTGGTCAGGGCACGTGCCTAGGTTGCAGGCTCAATCCTCAGTAGGAGGCCTGCAGGAAGCAGCCAATCAATGTCTCTCTCACATTGATGTTTCTGTCTCTCCTTTTCTTTCTCTCTAAAAAAATCAATAAAAACATTTAAAAATAAAATAAAAATAAAAACACAACATATATTTAAGTACTACATATTGTGGTGGTAGGGCATGAGCATGGGTAATGAGAATAGTAGTTAAAGGATCTTGATATCTCTTTGATGCATTGTGATTAACATAGATTGGGTTCTAGACAAAGACCAAGTATTAAGCTATAATTAATGAACTGTCTGAAGGATGGTGCTTCAATGAGGAAAACAAATTATTATTATTTTGTTTAGCGAAAAAGATTAGTATAGGTAAACATAATTTAGTGAATTTTTGGAAAATTGGAGTTTATTATTAAAATGTCCTTATACATTAAGACTTTTGATGAGATACTCTTTTTGGGCTTTGGTGAAAGGTGCATTCTGCATATAGTAAAAGTTGGACTGGAGAAAAACTGGTTATTTCTTTGAGAACAAGATTTCCTGAGATGGGGTGGATACAATGACTTCATAGGTCACTTTATCTAATTTGTGTGAGTACTATTTGAGGCAGTGGTCCAGAATCTGAGTCAGCCCTCTGCTGAATTGGTGAAACAATCCCTTGCTCTCTGGGAATTTTTCAGGGGCACTAACTTGGTATGGTCTGGGTGAGCATGTAGTGGCTGATTTTTGTTTGACTACGGATGATAATTTAAACAAACGTAATAATAGATTTGTAGTTTAGAAAGATGTATTATAAAAACAAAACAAATAAGCATACACACAAAACAAAAAAGAAAAAACTGTTATCCTGCAGTAATCAGGTTATCATGTCCTATTTTATCATTTTTGTCAGCCCAACTATGTAGATTGAATTTTATATTCTCTAGTGTTTTCAAACTAAAGTATCTTAACTTGTCCAGCCAGTGTGGCTCAGTAGATTGAGCATCGGCCCATGGACTGAGAAGTCCCGATTCAATTCCTGGTCAGGGCTCATGCCTGGGTTGCGGGCTTGATCCCCAGCGAGGGGTGTGCAGGAGGCAGCTGATTGATGTTTCTCTCGCATTGATGTTTCTCTCTCTCTCTCAAAAAAAAAAAATCAATAAAAACATTAAAAAAAAGTATTTTAACTCCAATCACAGCTGTTTCACGTAGATAACAAAAATATGATTTTGCAACTAACTTTAGGTAAATATATCTAAAAATTGTCCATGTGAATAAGTAGCAAGATGCAAAATAATATGTATAAAATTCTCTTACAATTTTCATCTTGGATAAATTGTAACTTTTATAATTAAAAAAATTAATTATCAAGGTAAAATTGCCACAGATAATAATTTTAGCATATGATTTAGTTTTGATGAGTATTAGGAAATTTATTTTCTAAAAGTTTCCTTTCATAGATTTTCAAATACTGGTTAAGTAAGTATACTGATATGTCAGTTAATAGAAGTAGATTACCTGATTTGTTGGTTCCTGTTTGAAATGCTAGATATAACTAGAAGAAATTAGCAGAGTTAAACCCTAGCTTATACCCTAGGAAGTTATTTTGTCTTATTTTCTTTTTAATCTTTCATTTTACTGTTGTTTATTTTATAAAAGCAATATAAATGCATTATAAAAAAGAAAAAGAAAACAAATGATAAAATGAAAATATAACCTTCCCCTCTTCCCTGCACACCCCCATATGTCTCCTTTGCAGTCATGTGTATCATTCCAAACTTTATTTTATAAACAAATTCATACATATATAAACACATTTTTTTAAAAAGGAGTAATTATTCTGTATGTACTGTTCATCATTTAATATCTTTCCACTTTAATAATATAAATCTAGTTTATATTTAATTTCTTGTTTTCCATTTCTCCTACCATTGTAGGTAGGAGAAATAGTCAATTATTGTATGAGTCCTACCTCTACATTTAGTATATTCTCTCAAACTGCCCTAACCTGTATTGTTAATAGTATCACCCACTACATACTCTGTCTTTCCTGAAGCAATCCTGTACTTTTCCACTGCTGTACCTTTATAGCTTTGTTACTTCAGCCTGAAATGTATGAATGTGTACACAACTCACATGTGCACTCATACACACAAACATTGGTAATTGTAGTGTTCAGATTTTCTTCCTGATATTTTTCTGCTTATTTAGTTATTGAGAGAGATGTATCAAATCTCCCTTTATGATGGTGTTTATCAGTTCCTCCTTAGTCTTTCAGTTTAATGGGCAGTAGTATTTAGAGACTACTATCTGGGTGCTGTAAGTGCTCATTATTGCTGTACACATAATTGAGAGGATATGTTTCGTTTTGCTTAATATGTTTAGGAATTTCTCAGCTTTTTGAAAGGTAACATTCCACTGACTTCTGGCTTCCATTGTTGCTATTGAGAAGTCATCTATCAGTCTAAGTGTTGTTCCTTTCTTTTTTTCCCCTCTCTAGTTACTTTTCATGTTGTTTCTTTTTCTTTTTTTAATCCTCACCCGAAGACATTTTTCTGTTTATTTACAGAGAGAGAGAGAGAGAAACAGAGAAACATCGACATGAGAGGGACACATCAACGGATTGCCTACCAGCCAGGGCTCTCTTTCTTTCATGCTTTATAGTTTCTCTGGGATATGTGTAGATGTGGATTTAGTTTTTTTACTTTTTTCGTAATCCTACTTGGATTAAGTTAGGCTTTCTGAATCTAGTGGGAACCGAACCCGGGTCTCTCCAGACCGCAGGCCGATGCTCTAACCGCTGAGCCAAACCGGCCAGGGCAGGCTTTCTGAATCTAAAGATTAGTGTCTTCCATCAATTCTAGAAAAGTTTTGTTATCTGAATATTACTTCCCTGTTTTCTCTATTAAATGGCATTTTCTTTTGGAATTTTTCCTCCACCTATAAATCATCTACAGTAGCATCTTAACTGGTTTTTCCATCTCCAGCTTTCCCCCTTCCAATCCTTTTAACATATTTAAGTTAGAATGACTGTTGTAAAATGTTAAATTTGGTCATATTGTTACCGGAGAGCCATCTGAGTCTGAGGGGGCTCTGCTCCTTGGCTCTTGTTACACTTGCAAGAAAGAATTCAGATGCGTGATAGAAAGCAGTGTTGAAACAGAGCAAGTGCATTTGTTAAGAATACACTTGGCATAAAGCACAAGGGGGCAACTCAGCTAGTCTGAGTGCCTCGCCTGGTGGGGGGTGGGGTTCAAGGGTTTTATACTCCCCTATAGGTTTCAAGGTTCCCCTGCCTGATAGACTAGATTTCAAGGTCCCCCTGCCTGATAGACTAGATTTCAAGGTCCCCCTTATACACTGTTGTGGCTTTTCCCAGATTTTGTGAGAACATCTGGCGATTTTACCTTGGCAAGTCCCAAGACTGCTGACTTCTTTGTTCAGTGGGTGAGATAAATTCCCCTTTTACCCTCTTCCCTTCCTCCTGCCCTAGCAGCTATTCTGAGTAACATCCCCCCTCAAGTGATACCATCCGATGCTTTTTTTTTAATCCTCACCCGAGGACATTCTTCCATTTTTTGTTCAGATAGAGCGGGAGGGAGAGAGAGGAAGAGAGAGAGAGAGAAACATCGACGTGAAGGGACACATCGAGTGGCTGCCACCCGCACGACCAACCAGGGCCGGGGACAAACTGCAACCGAGGTATGTGCCCTTAGCGGGAACCGAACCCGGGTCTCTCTGTACCGCAGGCCGACGCTCCAACCGCTGAGCCAAACCGGCCAGAGCGCTTTTGT